AGTCTAATTAATTAAGGAGCCCTTTTTCCTAATCTCCTTAGGGTCCCTACTGTAGCTCTATATATACATCATTAAGTTCATGAGAAGAGAATCCCAATCCTATTCACACGTGAATAACGCCGCCCATCTCTCTCTCTCTAGATCTCATTCGAGCTTTATCTTCTTCTTGTTGCTCCACTGGTACAAGTTCAAGAAGGGTGTATTGAGTAATACAGTAGAAGATCTGTAGGTAAACCGAGACGAAATAGATTTTGACCTACAGAACTAACCGAAACTCCGATTGAGACGTACAGTATACCCAGACGACCGTCTCGACGAGAGCTATCCATCGCCGCCAACGTCGCCGGAATCCGACACCGCACGCGCCCTCACGCGCCGCCGGAAGGTGTCTGGCAGCAAAGTTTCGTTTTGATCTGTTTGCATCCGTTTGATCCAGTTTTGATCTGATCTTGTTCGTGCAACCCAAGACGCGTGTTGCGGTCAACTGTTCGTGGTCAACCAGATCTACATAAATTTTAAGTCGTAAGTTCTCTACGTCAAACCTTTAGATCCGCTGCGCATAGGTTTACGTTTGCTATTGAATTCGTGATTTGTACATAACGAGATCCTCACAGATCCCAACAGAGCGTGGGCGAAAGAATTGCACGTGAATGTTTATCCTCATCGACGCATCTTCAGTTTGCACACTCTTTTCTCTTTTTGTTTTGGTTTCTTTTGAGTTTTGTTTTATTGTGTCGATGCTAAATTGGTTCATAATGTGAAATTGCTAAGTCTTGATATTCGAACTTCCCGGTTATGTGTGGAAGCAATGAGGACATTGCTTCATTTTAAGTGTGGGGGAGTCTACTTGGATTTGGCATGCTTATGTGGTGGAACGGTCTAGTATCTAGGTTGTCGTGTTGTTAAACATATGGTATTGGAGAATTATATGAGTTGTTGATAAATGTTTGATGAAATTGGGAAGTTGTGATGACGGACGTATTGATCATTACCTCGATATTTACTTGATTGTTTTGGGTGACATCTATTTACCTTGTGAGGTTTTGATCCTTACTTTTCTTTCTTGACAGATATTGGTCGTATTCTCGAATGATTAGAACTTGCCTTGAGTTTATTTGAAAAGAATCGGTTAGAGTTTGAAATTGCAAAAATGATTGAGGCGTTTTGTTTGTTAGCTCATTTTGTCTTGTTCTTTGGTCCTAAAATTATATTCCCTAGTAACCCGTTCGAGCCTTGAGCTATTTCTTCTCAGCCATACATATAATGTATTTTGTTGATTGATCTGTGTGATGATCGGTAAAGATGGAGTCGTTATTGAATGAGGTGGAAATCGAGTTGCATTTTATGCTTGACCAAAAAAATAAATAACTAAATAAATAAAAAAATATAATACATGAGAGCTCGCAGAATGAATCAATTGGATTCTACTCCGCTTACATGTTATTCATTTTAACGAGTAATGAGTATTGGGAAACCACTTTAGGACACTTGGATGACCTCCAATGTTTAAACCTAATGAATATTGTCCTTACGATTCGAGTTTGTTCGGAAGTAGTAACTCTGTAAATAAAAAAAATGTGTAATAAGTCAAGCAAAGTTGCAAGTCGACTAGAGCAATTTTGTGTTGTTTGTGGTTGGTGTGTATGTTATCTTGTTGATTTTGGTCGAGTGACGTACATTCGAGTATTCTATTACTTGAGAATTTTGATTGTTCATTTGAGCTTCTTGTCCATATATATATCCGTACCGTTACCTATAACCCACATTACAACCCGAAAAGTCCTCTTGATTCAAAAAATTTGAGCTTTTATTAATTCCGAGTAATTTAGATGATTGGCAAGCATATTTTGAAACGTGAATATCGACCGATTTTGAGCGTACCTATTACATATTCAAGCAAGAAAATGAGTGGGGCATATAAGTTAATATGTTGAGAATTTGTCATTCTGAGGCCAAGTCGATATTTGAGGCATATGGTCGTACGGTCGTTGGAATTCGACTCGATTGAGTTAGACATTTTAGGGCTCTTCTTATTTGAACCTGTATCCATGCTCGTGTCTTGTTTTCATTTCTCTTTGTTCGGGACGAACAAAGGTTTAAGTGTGGGGGAGTTGTTGTGACCATTTTTGTTACGTTTTTAATTACTGTTTTGTTATTCTTTTTCTCCCGTTTTAGGTCTTTTAGTTGGTTTTTAGTTCATTTTGTAGTTTATTGTGTGTTTTTCTCTATTTTGGCTTTTTTATGTGTTTTTCGTATATTTTGTCGGTTCTCTATATATTTGTTCTTGTTTTTTGTGTGCAGGTCAAAAGCCCGTGAGGAATAGATTTAGCTCGAAATTGAGCCAGAAAATCATGGTTGAATAGATGGGTTCGTTGGCAATATACACGAAAAAACGGAACTCGATTTCGAGTTCGTACGATTCTAGACGGGCCCAAAATGCGAAGTCGCGCGAATCACGCCGTTAGTGTGATGGTCAAGAGCTTTGGGAGAACATGTTTTCATGAATAATTTGGCCATGCAAGCATCATTGAATAGAGGGGTTCGTTATCGACACGTCGAAAAAAACAGAATTCAATTCCAAGTTCGGACGAGCCCAAAACGCAAAGTCGCGTACCCAGTCTTCCTTAGCGGCGCTAAGGAATTCTGCAGCTACTCTCTGGCGTCGTTAAGAAAGGTTAGCGCCGCTAATCATCCGGGCTTAGCGGAGCTAAGGTGCATTTTTCAGCAAAAAGTGTGTTTTTCCTCAAATTATAGAATGTTGGGGGTAGTGCTCGACTTTGGACATGTTTGGTCGACCATGGACCCTTGAAAATTGATATTCCTGCATGCTTTGAGCCATTTTCCTCCATGTTTTGAGCCATGAACATTTTACCATGATTCCCTCAAATTGTTGGCTTGAAATGGAGGAAAAAGGGGAGAAATCATCTATAAAAGATGGCAAAGTTTTGAAGAGAAAAACAACTCCATAGAGGGGTTCTCCCCTCTTCTCATTCCTCTCCTTCTTTCTTCTTCTTTCTTTTCTTCTTCTTCATTTTTAGTTCCTTTTCTTGGTTCATTTGTGAGTGTAATATTTAGAGAATACAAGATTACTTGTGAACTCGGTTTGGCTTGTAAGTTTTATTTCGATTCTCAACTTGGATTAATAGTAAGTTTTCTTCATTTGATTATGAACATGAAAGCTTGTGTTAAACCTTTTTTTATGATTGATGTCATCACGAGTAGCTAATTCTTTAGCTAGGGGCTAGGGGATAATCATTCCGGTTTGTTCTCGTTTATGTGCATGACGATAGCTCAATCTTTCGAGTTGTTTTAATTAGGAATTGATAAAATCATACTTGATAATTCGATATAACCTAAGAGTGACACTTAGGAAAATTTGTTGATATAATCGAAGAGTGACACTTCGATTTTGCACGATTGAATATTAATTTATTAAGTTAGAGTTTGTTGATTCTACATGATTAGTTGATTAAACACCTTCTAATCGAATTAGCGACTTTTAGAACCAAAAGGGGAAGAGTCGTAGAGTTAATTGATTTCAAAACCGAGAGGGGAGAAATTGGTGGAACTTGGCTCGTTTAGAGTAGACATGTTCGGAGACATATTGTCTATGTATTAATTGTTTCGTTAATTTGCTCGTTTATGCTTATCCGCATGTTACGAAGAGTTATTGAGGTTAAACCGCTATATGAGTTAATTAGTCGAGTCTTTTAATCGAGTTATGGATTGCTGATAAATGTGTGCAGAACTGAAAATGATTGTCCCCAAAACCCTAGCTCGTTTATTTATATTTGAACCGTATATATCTTCTGGAATTGTGTTTTCGAGTTGTGACATTTAAATAGCTCTATTTACATTTCATTAGTTGATAATCCCATTTGACAAATTGAATTAGAGTGTGTAGGATTTTTCTATTTTTGTGTTTTGGACAACTAACTAGCAAACGAAGCTCCGATCCGTCTTCCTTTGAGAGACGACCCGAGTCCGGATAACTCGGTTACCAAATTATCCCACCACAAAATATTGCACAACAGAAAGCAAGATGCTGGAGACTTAAGGTTCTTGGGAAAGTAAACACTTTGTGTGGAGGTGTTTTTCAAATATTGTTCCTGTTAATTGCAACATAAAAAACAGAGGCATGGATATTGATACAGTGTGCCAGGTTTGTGGTGTTGAAGAAGAATCACTGGAGCATGCCCTTTTTCTATGTTCTAGAGCAAAGCAGACTTGGAAACTTGCACCTATGCAATGGAACAGGTTCCCTGATGAGCAGAGTTCTTTCCAAGACTGGTGGTGGATGAGCACGATGAATGCCAAAGACACTTCAGAGGACCGGATTCAACTATTCCACATATATCTTGTGGTGGCTCTGGAAGGCAAGAAACCTTTGGGTTCTTGAGAGGATTTGGCAACCAGAAGTATGGATAGTTAAAATGGATGTTCAAGATTGGTTGGATTTCTGTAGCTGACAGTGGGGGTCTGCCATGGGAGCATGAAAGGGTGCATTAGGTCGCGTGTTAGTGATGCATGGCTAACTTGGTCCCGAACAGATCCTGCTGCAGTGAGCATTGAGTTATAGATTCTCTGTTCTTTTTTTGTTCTGGTCTATGTATTGTTTTTATTTTAAGGAATTGCAGACTTTGAGTTTGGGTTGTAATATGTTTTGTTAGTACATGGTAGTTTGCTGTAATGGTCTAGGTTGCATTGGACTGAATGTAATCTCTCAGGTACTGAAGATTAGAGCTTTGCCCTATGTACTTTTCTGCCATTTGGGTTTGAAATGAGAATTTATGCCGTTGGAAAAAAAAAAACTATAACTCTGTAAAAACTTGGATCTTACATCACACTAATCTATCATCCAAGTCCTTCGAGCAAAAAACTCCAGAAAAACCAAAAACCCGTCGTTTTTTTTCGCGCGATTTCATCATCATTTATCCAACTGACGGTTGAATTTGATCCTCAAATTAATTTCTCACCATCTGCAAAACACTAGCCATGGCTCACAACCCCCCTTTGCAGCGGATATAAACCTCAGACTTATTGAGCGGAAGCCATGAATCTAAGCACCAGAAAATCACGTCTCCGTCGCTCACGAGACCAGGCGGCAGGCGTTGTGAGTTACCAATCTGCTCAACCCGGCGATTGGCCGTGCAGCCGCAAGCCTCCGCCTTCCGCCGCCAGTTACCACCGTATCCAACAAAGCCCGCCACTCGTGGGCTGTCGTCGAGATCTTTGCCAGTTAACACCCAAAAAGCTTGTTCAAACCATTACAAGCGATTAAACAAGAAAAAAAAAAAGACAGAGCGTCCGAGAAAAAAAGAAAAAAAAAATGAAGAAGAAGAAAAGTTATAAAACAGAGAGGATAATTAAAGAAAAACCACGGAAAGAAGGAAGAACAAAATTGAATAATAAGAAGAAAAAAGTAAGAGATAATTAAATGAATATGAAGAGACGTGCGGTTTACACAAAAACCGTATATATATATATATCTATACTTATATTAAGAGGTATAACGTTTACTAGATTTAGTATAATGAAAAGTCAACAACATTTATTGCATTACTATTTCCGTATTATACAATCTATACTTATATAAAAGGAGATTTTATTTACTACATTTACTATCCAGAAAAGTCAACTGCATTAAATGTCATTACTATTTTGGTATTATAATATTTTATTTATTTAATTAACTTATTTATATGTTTTATTTTAAAAAGATAAGTATAATAAAAAGATTTTAATAAAAAAATCAAATACCAAATAAAAATGTACACTTTGACTTATTTGATTATATTTGGTATTTGATTATACCAAATATATTCCTATTTAGTATATACATTAAATACTTACTAAAGTATTTATTTGTTTTATTTGTCAAAGTTAAGTATAAATTTATTTATATTATCAAATCATAAAACAAATAAATATATCTCGTGCTTCGAATGGGTATTTGAACATTGTACAATTTTCTTGCGTATTATAAACTTTTATTGAATATTGCATCTTATAATATAATATTCTCCAAATAAATATATCTCGTGTTTCGCACATGTCACGTACTATATATATCCCGTACATTTTTCTTTATTTATGTATATAATTATAAACTTGGATAAATAGCCTTAAAATTGTGCACCCCGTGCATCGCACGGGCTCTGTACTAGTATATTATGAAGAGACATGTCTATTAACAAAATTAAAAATAAAAAATAAATAAAACCACTTAAATTCACTGTGTACAAATCAGAGAATAAAAAGGGTAAATTTGGAAACATGATAAGCACAACCAATTAAGTAAACTATTTCTTAAAAGAGATAAGGATGGTCCTTTATTCCCCAATTGGGGGGAGTTTGGAGCTTGATTTGGGGTTGATTGGATCTACAGACATCATACCAAATTTGGCCCTTGTGGTTTGAAATTTGAAATTTTGAACTTCAAAAATTGGTGCCAAAAGAGAGCTTAAGGGACCAAATTATTTGATATCAATGGGTCGGTTTTTGTAGCATAAAGGGCGAGGTTTTGGTGTTATTGTGGGACGAAATACGAAGCTTAAAAGGCCAAAAAAAATCGGGCTTTGTTTGGTAAAATTCGACTAGCAAAAAGGCTCAAATTTGGACTTGAACCAAACGAATTTTGAATAGTAAACGAATTAACAAATTTCAGATAATTTAAGTATACAAGGACATTTACGAAAATTATTTTAACTCACTAGAGTAGATAGTTGATGACATCTAGATAATCTTAACGATATTGAAAAAACTCAATCGAGCTATCAGACAAGCAATATAGAAAATGCCACACAAGCATACAATAAAGCAACGGACTCTTACTAATCGAACGAGATACTACAACTAAACTAAATTATGATAACTTAAATATAGATACATATTAAATAGTCAATTGTTTAACAAATGATCATCTGATCACTGACGGAGGATGATCACTGCTTTTCCCGAAGATTTCGGGTAACTAAGTACTGTTTCAGACATCTTAGCAAAATCTGATGAAAAATTGGTTAGACTTTCAAGTGCATCGATCACCATCTTTTTCAATGATGTGGCTCTCTTAAGCAAGATTCGGGCCAACGTAAGCATCGGCTCACCTCCTAAATTGGGATCAGCAAAATCAAATAAACGAACAGTCTTCAAGTGCACTAAGTCGAGATCCAAATCATCCCTTGCAGCAGGGGTCCATGTCCTGGCAGATTCCTAGACGAATAACAATAACAATAACAATAACAAAATTACGACAGAAAAT